ACGGAATTACGGAATTACAGAATTACGGAATTACGGCATTACGGCATTGCGGCATTACAGCATTACAGCATTGCGGCATTACGGCATTACAGCACATAATATTTACGGCAATTGTGTGCTGTGCCGTAATTAATTCTACCATATGGTAGAATGCCGTAATGCTGTAATTCAGTAATTCTACCGCCAACACTACACCGGTTTGGTGTCAAACCCAAGAATAGTGGACAAATAGAAATAACGATATAAAGAATTTCATGACTATTAGAAATAATGATATAAATTATTACATTACAAATAGAAATAATGATATAGAAAATTACATTAAAAGGTTTCAACTCAAATCTATAAGATATGATAAGACTATTGAGTGGATTCCATTTGATAAATTGGAAAATATACGGAAAATTAGTGAAGATTTTAATGCAAACCTTTTAGCAGTCTGGGTAGATGGCATCCGATCAGTATTTAATTACCATGGAAAATATATAAAATCACGTAAAACACGAAGCACAGTTACGCTTAAGGCGTTTTCCATTTTGAAAATGAATTCTGATGATTTTTTAAATGAAGTAGGTTAATGTGCTATAGTACATACTTTTATTAATGTCTTTATACTTATATAAATTCTATCTTATTTTAAGGTTGAAGAATATGTTCAGTCAACTGATGGATATCACAAATTATTTGGACTTACTCAAAATAAATACACCAATGAATATATAATAGTATTTGATGAGCTCTATTATAAAAGAAATTCCTGTAATGGAGTATGCTTGAATTGTAACAGATATAATACTTCTCCAGACTGTTGTCAAACATGTTATCCCACAAGAATAGCATTAAGTGGAAATAATGATATCGATAATTATATTAAAAGATTTCAACTTAAATATAATAGAACTATTAAATGGATTCCATTTGATGAATTAGAAAAAATACGAAAAATTAGTGGAGACTTAAATACAGAATTTTTAGCAATCTGGATAGATGGTATACAATTAGCCTCCAATGACAATAGAAAATCACGGCCACCAAGGTGTATAGTCACGCTTAAGACTTTATTTAGTTCACAAATAAATCCTACAAATTTTTTAGAGAGGGCAAGTTTAACTTAGTTTGATTTGGCTTTATTAATGTATTGGATATATTAGCAGAAAACTTTAATATTTATTTTAAGGTTGAGGAATTTTTACAGTCAACTAACAATTGTAAATTATTTGGGCTTACTCAAAGTCCATTCACCCATGAATATATGATAGTGCATGATGACAAATATGCACTTAATGAGATCCCAATTATGGAAAATGTATGGATTGCAAACGCTTTAACACTTCAAAGGCTTGGTGTCAATCATGTGATTCTTGGAAGGCAACTAAAGAATGGAAAAGTGGAAATAAGGCTATTGATAATTGCATTGAAGGATTTCAATTTGAGACTACAGAATATGAAAATGTAATTGAATGGATTCCTTTTGAAAGGTTGGATAGTATTCAAGAGATTGCACGAGGAGGATTCAGTTATGTATATTCAGCAACCTGGTTAGATGGCAAACGAAAAACTATTTATGATGGCGAAAAGTATATTCAGTCACGTACGGAACCAAGTATAGTAGCACTTAAAACTTTACCCGGTTCTCAAACAAGTCCCATCGAATTTTTACAAGAAGTAGGTTAATTGATTTTTGTTAATTTTATTTAACTAATTTATTTAAAAGTATTTACATGAATTATTTTTTTGAGTTTAAAAATCATATGAAATGCAGATTGACAGGCAGTAAACTTGAAATATATGGACTAACTCAAATCATTACTACAAACAATATCTAATGGTATTTCAATATGCGAACAAACAATGGAAACCTTCGTCATTATTTGAGATTAAATTTTAAAAAACTTATATGGAAAGATAAATTATTACGACTAATAGATATATCGAGAGATTTAGATCAAATTCATGAAGCAGGATATATTCATTGTGATCTTCATAGTGGTAATATTCTGCAACATAAAGAGGAATTATGGCTTGAAAAAATAATAAAGTCATATATTTCAGATCTGGGATTGTCTCGAAATAATAAAGAATTTACATCGAAAAAAGGAATCTGTGGAGTTTTACCTTATATTGCACCAGAAATTTTGTTAGGCAACGATTATACACAAAAATCTGACATATATAGTTTTGGAGTTGTTATGGCCGAAATAAGCACTGGAGTTCCACCATTCGATGGCTATTTGTTTGACATTGATTTAAAGATGAAAATTTGTAAAGGATTAAGACCAACATTCGCACCAGGAACACCCGATTGCTATATCGATTTAGCAGAGTTATGTATGAATAAAGATCCCCAAAAACGACCTACTGCTAAAGTTCTTTATGATCAAATTTTAGAATGGTACAGTTTTATGAATGAACAGGATATGGATGACTAAATGGATATTGATGACGGTACAGATATGGCTGATGAAATGGATGCGTTTGATGAATCGCAAGAATTAGATGGGAAATCAGAAATAAATAATAAATTTTGGGAAGCTGATGAAATAATTCAACAACTGCCATTAGCTACACAAAAAAATTTAGATAGTGTATATACAAGCCAGTTTATTGATGTTGAAGAAATTTCTCAACGATTTAGTGCAGAAGTTATCTCAGGCGACATGGCTGGTAAATATGTTCTCAAAAAAATTTATTTAGCATTCTATCGATATTTAAAGGCTAATTTAATAATTAACAATTATGTTTTAGATTCAGGACTTATTGACTTTTATATTAAATCATTAAATTGATTTTTATAATTTAGTTTGTTTTTTATTTTTATTTATGTTGCTTTGATTGAATTTGATGTCACAATTTAGAAATAAGTAAATAAATAAACAAAGAATAGGGAGTTTCAAAGTTAACAAATAAGTGACGCATTTCGAAAATAAATAGGGTTTTTTCAATAGTATTTTTACTATGTTGAATTATAAATCGGAAAAATAAAATGAGATTCTCTGATTTTAACTTTGAAACCCCCTAATATAACACTTATAGATTTTTACTTCTCTAAATGCATGTTTAATCCAATTTTTACTACGGTCCCACGCAATGCATTTAGAGAGGTCAGATTGTACCTATTTCGTTTTCTGATTTCGAAATAAATGGGATTTTTTAAACTCCCACTTATTTTCGGAATAAGTTAATTCCGAATCATCCTAGTATATAAATTGAATAGTTTATTTTACACTCATATTAGGGATGCTCATGCCAGGCATATTAAGCATCAGGCCTTGCTTGCGATATTATCTCCCGTGGGTACAAAGATTTCAGGACCTTTGCAGGCACGCGTGTGAAGTTCAAAGCACTTTGTGTCCTAATGCCTAGTAATTTATGTCAAGCATTTATGCTTATATGCATAATGTACCAAACTCTTGCCTGGCACTTTGTGCCCACAAGTTAACGCGAATTAAGTAGCAAATATTCATCGGCCAGTTTTTCACTCATTTTCACCAATTTTTAGGTTGGGGATTTTGTTCCTCCGTAGATTTTCAAACTTTACAAGATAACACTATTACTATTCGTGAAAGAGATAACTTAAAACAAATTCGGCTGAATGAACTTGTTTATTAAATATAGTAAATGTTCATGAACTCGAATAACCTATTTTAAATTAATGAATATTCCTGATATTCATACACTAAATTATCACAAAATCATAATAAATGTTCAAGAGCCTGAATAACTTATTTTGAATACAGATTAATAAACGTTTTTAATGTTTATGCACTAAATTATCGAAAAAAAATTAAGTAGTAAATATTCATGATCATCTTATTTTATTAATAAAACGTTTACTTATTATTAAAGTCTACTAAAATTATGATATCTGATACATAGAATATTTTGTCTCAACGTTTGCTACAGTCGTGAAATAGTATGTGTCAAAAGAATAAAAATAAGACACATGCTAATGTAACATATGTTCTTGACAGTCATTGTTTATGAAGTAAAATTGTATCGAAAAGGGTAACGATACGTAAACAAAATATCTGCATAAAAACTTTCCAAAGTGGGACATGCTGTAAAATCCGCGTCTTTTTTTGCCTAAATAGGATATATATATGAAGTTATTTTTTTCTACATATAACTATACTTAATATATAGAGTCTTACCAGTTTTAAGTAATTTAGATGGGACCGATTAGGGGGACCTATTAAATCTTGTTCAACCGTTCGGTCGCATCTAATTAGAAACTGGTAGATTGCTTTTAAATATTACATTAAGTTATAGAAAATAACTTCTCATATCATTCAAAGACTTGTTAACAAGTCAATCTTTGCCAAAATTGCTGCGAGTCCGATTAATATTTTAAACATTGAAACATGCTTTGTGTTAATTACATAAATCTGCAAGTGGGTCGAATATATTGGCACGGCATATCTTATAGTTTCAATTAATACGTATAACAATAAATGTAAGATTAGAGTCCATACAATTATAATGTTTTACTGTACTGTATATCTAATAAGACCGAATAAGAATATATGCCTTAAGAAGATGTGTTCTAAAGAGAAATTTTCTGTGTACTATTTAAACTTTGATTTCAGTATTTCAGTGGTTAATTTTCACTCACGATTTTACGTACTAAAATATATTCAAATTATATGAATGAAAAAACAAGATGTGTTTACACAGCCCTGTATCATGATCAGTTTTGGCATTACTAAACTTCGCCACCAATTTTAAATCTTTTAAATCTAAGCCAGGTTGTTAATTTCATTTTTTCAAAGCCTCAAGAAATTTTATTCGACATCATAATTGATAATGATCAACTTTGTTTAATTTCGTACGTCGTTAATTTATTAACAGTCAATCAATAGATAATCCTAACTATAATTTCACGCAAAATAGTAATGAAATTACAGTTTCTTTTAAAAAAATCAATTTCTCCAGGAATGTGAAAAAGAAACTTTATAAATTAGTATATATATTCATCACAATCCATATAATATATAATAACAATGGCGGGAATACAAGAGACATTAAGTTTCGCAATAGGTGTTCTAGTATCCATGGGAGCCTCGGTGATGGATGCAGCAGGTATTAATTTACTTAAATTGGATCATGTAAAAAATTCCAGTAAACCAATAGAAAAACAACGTAGCGATTGTGGTAGACCTATGTGGCATCTCGGTTTATATTTATATATTCTTTCTCAAGTTGTTGGAAGTACGATAGCATTAAGTAAGCTTTGACCTCTTTTTTTTTTTTTTTCTGAAATTTAAATTATGAATTTGATTCATTTTTTTCAAAAAATTCTAATATCACTATTATTGATTAATAGATTTTCTTCAACCGCAATGGGTAGCACCTCTTGGATCTGTGTCTTTGATTTTTAATTTTATATTTGCCAGAGTTTTAGTTGGAACTAAAATTACAAAACAAGATCTTTGGGGTACTTTGGTAATTGTAATAAGTGTGATATGGGTTGTGGGTTTTGGAGGTATTAATCAAGCAAATGGTATGTAATAAGAATTTAACATATAAGTCTTTTTTTTTTTTTACCTAATTAAAGAACACGATTATTTTATCGGTAATGTAAAATAACAGATGACCTGGATATAGAAAGATTAAAAGAATTAATGTTACGTCCATTATTTGTTATTTATTTCTCTATACTCAATCTAATAACTTTTTCACTCTTCGGTTGTGCCATGTTTGGTTATGTGATGGTTAGCTATCCTGAATTAAAAAAAAAAAATCAATTTTTTAATGGGATTGAAACTTCTCGATTGCAAAATTGGGTTGGTATGACAATGGCTAGTGTTGGTGGTTTACTTGCCAGTCAGACTATACTTTTGGCTAAAAGCGGGTATATTTCGTTTTTATATATATATATATATATATATATATATATATATTCATATTATAATTAATTATATTTATGTGTTTTTTTTTATAGTGTAAAGTTACTTACTATATCCATTTCCGAACAAAAGAGTCAATTTACTGATAAAACAAGTTGGTTTATTCTCTTATTCCTAATGCTTACAGCAACACTCCAGGTTAGTTGCAAAAACCATTCTTATTATTGATAATATACTCTAATATATCCAATACATAAAATGGAAATATTAAATAATTGTAGGTTTATTGTCTTAATACTGCATTGAAATTACTCGATTCAGTATTGGTGGTCCCTATGTTTTATGGTTTCTATACTACATTGAGTCTTGTCAACACAATGATTTATCTTGATGAATTAAGCGAATATCCTGCTTGGGTACTTCTCTTAATTGCCATCGGAATTGCCGCTTTAGTATACGGTGTGTTACTATTAAGTGAAGCAAAAGAAGATGAAGACTTGTCGGATGATGAAGATGAATCAGATATTAATACCAGTAAAGTACAGAAAAGGCATAAAAAGAAAGATCCTGAATCAGAAGATGTGTTTGTCAGTTTTGACAAATGGCTTACAACTTTGAGAAATAGATTCAGAAGTGGAAAAGTTAATCAATCTGAATTACAAATGGAGGAATTTGATGCAAAACCTAAAAAATAGTAGCAATTAATGACGAGAGAAATAATTATAATTAACATGTTTTAATATGTTTAAATTTAATAGGCTGCACTTTTTTGGTGGCTAAAACAAAAACTATGCATGAAATTAGAAATGGGCTATTAATCTTGAAGGTTATTAACCTTAAAATATTTGTTAGCATTACTATATTTATATTCAGATAATCATACGTACTATACGTATTACAACTGTATATATAAATAATAATGTCAATATTATTAAATATATATTTAACAAGATTTGCATAACATACAGTAATAAATATTGCAGAGATACGTATAATATAATTGGTATTAGTCTTGGCTATTTGCTATAAATAGCTGAAACAAAGTTAAACCAAGATTAACCAAATTTTTAAAAATAACAATAGCGATAGAGATGTAATCGATCGAGTCCTTATCGATCCTTTCAGATCCTTTTAAAGATCTCGGTCCTTAAGCCACATGAAAACGTAGTACATTTATATAGATCTTGGATGGAATTGTTTAACAATACAGAATTGAATTGATTGAATGAACTTATTTGAAGGATCCAATTCAGGATCTAAATCCTATATAAATGCATTATATTTTCATCGATTTAAGGATTTGAATCCAGGACGGTTCTAGATGATCCTAGGACCGGATCAGACCGGATTCGTAATTTAACATCCCTAAGTTCAATTTTATTTAGTTTTAAATAAGCATGTTTAAAATTAAATTTATACAGTGCGCGACATTTAAAGACTGTATTTGTCCCATTTTGGGAGATCATCAATAGCTGTTATAAAGTCAAAATTACAGTCTACTCTGGATATAATGAACCTCTTTATAATGAACTCTGGATATAACAAACTCAATTTTTTAAATTTTAATATTAGTTCGGTATAACAAGAGCTATAGCTATTAAGAAAACATGATAATTCTATATAACGAACTTTTTTTTTGGCCAGAACCGAGGGTTCGGTATAGAAAAAGTAGACTGTATACATGAAATTGATATTTATGTATTAAGCGAAGTTGTTCGAGAGATCAAAATATTGTACGTACATATATCCTGAAAGTTTCACTCAAATCAGTTAACTTTTTATAAATACGTTTTTATATATTATTATTATGCGAAAAAAGTTAAAAAATTAATTCTCACAATTGTAATATGTGTCGTGGTCGACTTTGGTGCCCCGGATATTCGTAGCGCAAGGGTTAGGGATCATGCATGAATGGCGTGATTCGGGGTTGCATGGAGTTAAAATAGTGATTGCATGAACAATGTGGTAATAATTAATAATAGCGATTGCATGAGCGATGGGAAAGTATGTAATAATCAGTGACGCAAAATAGCGATTAGTAATTAATATAAGGTATCGATCCCAAAAGGGAAAGTACCTAGCTTTTGAAGTTGTAAGCTTTGAACTTACTTAGTGTAAAATGACCTTAGTGAATAAACTATTACCTCTGTGTGTATACATAATCGGTGGAAGGACCTGTATCACAGGTTGAAATCAAAAATATCTTCCCTGTATCTTCAAATAATCGGCCTAGGTGATAGCAGGACGATATAGTGATGGCTATGAACCGATATGATAGTGTATAAAAAAAGCCGATATGC